AACGAATGTCCTTTTATAAAGTATGTTTGCCATGCTGTAAGTTCTAGAGTGTTAGCGAATTATCTGCAAAGTATCAAATACTTTTAGATCTGATGGGATTTTGATAGCTATGTCAACTCCAAACACTTTGGGATATTGGGCATACATGTTATCCTCGTTAGCCTTCACAATCTATCGATTTGGTATCTTTATGTCAAGCAGTTTTGGTGAAAGAAAGAGATGCATCAAGGTTGGTTATTTTATGTGTTCACATTCTACTACTTTAATGTGGAATGGGGATGCCAGAGGAAGATTACAGTGACATTGAATACCATAGACGTGTTGGAAAAGTTCGTTTACGAGAAATTTACCTTAACTTGCTGAACTTTCTTAGCAGCTACGGTTGGAGTAAATCGAGCTAATTAAGATCTAGGGGGACCGGTTGTAAGAGTAAGAGTTCTGTCTGCAGTTATTTACTTTGCCTGTAAATTGAAGATTATTCACCAACTTATGCGAGTTTGAGTGTGACTGAATTTGTCATTTTACCGTAAATAAATAAAGACTATATACTGCTTTACAGAACTGTTCTATTCTTCTTTAACTCGACTTTTTCAAGTAGTGAAGAAGTCAAATCAGAAAAGAACAGAGTAGTTTTGAAAGGTTAAAGAACTAAAGAAGAATAGAGCACTTCTTAGAATAAAATCGGAAGCAAAGTTGTTTGTGTTTCCTTTTGAAATCCATTTTTTACGCTGTATGAAAATGACGCACACTTTCATTAGGCTTTCATTACTGCAAGATTATGAAGATTATACAGCTTCAAGACGAAGATGTACATATTCTGCATGATAACTTTTCACCCTATTATGAGCAACTTGTGAATGAACTCTTAAAACAAGAGTTCGGCTGTACTATTGGACGCAAGTCAATAAATGTTGCAATGCATACCAAAGGTTTCTATATAGTTGAAATTTGAAAAATACTAGATTGCATCTTTTTGAGATGCTGTTGATCTTATCATGGTTACTACCGAGTCTTATCACTTTTGGCTCAACTGCACTGGGATGTCTGAAACGTTACAATCGCTACTCGCTGGCATATACATTCGACTGTTCCAATTGTACTACTCTTTGTAAGTTTGGTACTTTCTATGTAAGTTTTTCTTATGGAAAGCTTTCATTCAGGGGGATTGTTTTCCTTTGTCGACTTGAACCAATATGCTGGACAATTGATACCGGTCATTATGATAACTGCTTATGCGATCATTCTTTTCAGCGTTTACCGCAATCGTAGGTCTCATGGTAGTTTCAATCGGCAGCAATCACTCGCTGATGCCAAGTTGGTCAGTGAGACGGAAGAAAGCCGGAAAGCATTATTCCGAACGACAGTAGCTTCTACAGGCATTTCAATTCATAATCATCTGCGGCTTCCAGTATCTCAATACGCTACTGTTTTTCATCATGGCCGGTCATAGCAGCGACTGGAGCATACTTCTCAGGAATACTATAGGTGAGTGGATAAACTATAATCATGTTTATTCCGTACATTCCACAGGAGCTACGTAATGATTGCACCAAAAACTTTTTTCATGTAAACTTGAGCAAAAATGAGCCCATTTATGAAGTACTAAATAGAGGAACAAAATTCCGTTATTCTCCTAGCCTTAATCCAAGCCAGATTTTCAATTTATGGATCAGTCTACTTAAAACAATCACTAACAAACACAAAACTATGCATTCCTTGTCAGATACTACATCTAATAAAATATTAAAAACATTGATCCAGTACTTTGTCAGAATCAAACATAGATTAGTATACCCCACAAATAGAAACATAGCCCCTCCTAATCTTAACATCAGACAATTACAAAAAATTTTCATTTTTTGTCTATTGGATAAAGCTAGCTCTAACTATGGCATTATATGTAAA